AAAGAGATAAATGTTGTTTCTTTATTTCTTTTTAAGGTGATTATTTAGAGGCTCGAAAGCATTTGACAAAGGCAACATATACCTCAGATCTGCAAACTGATGCAGAAGAAGATAATGCTAGTGTTGCCAAAAAAAGATCTAAAAGGTATGTCAGTGTGCACGTACTTGTAAAATCATGTACATGTAAGTGTGTTATACTTATAGATATCTATTTAATTTACAATATGTATTAATCTAAATTTGGTAAATTCATGCATGGTTCATTTTAGAAGTTTTCTAGATCTATTGTAATTTTATATGTATATAAAAAATATCATTAAATATTAAGTTTATGATTTAAAAAAAAAATAAACATTGCATTAATTTGGAAATTATTTTTGAAATCAAATTACATGTATATGCAAACAATAATGTGCTATTTGATTAAATATTTTGAATTCAAATTTAGACCAAATCCTAGATTTCTCTCCTCGGACGAGTCAGAAGAGGAACCAGAAATGCCAAACATTCGAAGGAGGCAGTCTCCAAGAAAAAAGAGAGATGCAACAAATGTACCCCCGTTACCAGCTCTACCACCACCACCTTCTCCCCAAAGACAGGAGCCCAGACAATCAGTTGACTGTCAGAGAGCAACCGTCAGTGGCAGAATACATGCCACAAGTTCTACTAGTTCTGGATCTTTCCCATCAGTAGAGCTAAATTCAACGTTCTTTGATAAAGTTCCCTATCCAACAACTACAACTGGTATGTGGATAATAAATGTATAAAATTTCATCTTTGAATTGAGATGAAGTTTAGAGAAGATGAGCATCTCAAGGATAACAAAATTAAAATTACTGTATTTGGTCAAAAAACTAGGTGGATTTTATGATACATGTCAATTTGTTTTACCTTAGCTTTAGATAAGAAGATTCTTGAATGTATAGAAGAAGTAAAAGTACAAACGCATCACAACACCAAACTGCTTCAGGCCATTATGAAAAAGCTTGATGGACTGTCAGTGGCAGATGATGCTACAGAGGAGGGAGCAAATGAAATTAACATCAATTTTCCGCTGACAACAAAAGACATGCTTCTTGAATTAGAGGATAATCTGCAGAACGAAAACACTGTCAGGAAGTTGGTATGTAAATCATTTACAAAATTGTATATCTACCTCATTTACCTTGTTCAGTTGCCAGAATTATTTACAATATTTGGATTTTCTTAAAGGTAAAGTCTTTGAGTACCATTGGAGGTGAAAATGTGAAGAATTCTGTTAGACGCCTTTTGGGCCACATGATCTCCAATGAATTAGCAAAGACCATTAACTGGGTTGGAAAAGGCGGAAAGATTGCCTTTTCAACATTGAAACTTAACAACGTTTTAAAAGGTATGTGTATATTTTTAAAAAAAGAATGATATTTGCCTATTTGATTCTGTCGGATAATTAAAGTAACATGATAAGAAAAAGTAGGTATGCAAAACCTTCAAGTTTAATACATGAAATTTTGAATCAGTCATAAGGATTAATTATTGTTTATCAATTCGGATTAACTATAGTAGAATTTTTTGTGGGGGGTTAGAATAGATTAAAAAATGAGTGAATAATATTTAAACAATAATTAAGGAACATAGGTGTTAAGTTGATTTACTGATATTACTATTTTATTATAACAGCTACCATACGGAAAAATAGACTTTGTGCAACATCAACTGATTCTGAAATAGCAGTTATTGCAAAAGATTGGTTTAGATTTGCTGGTGACAGGGATGGAGGCAGGAAAAAAAGGGAAGAAATAAGAAAGGCAAAAGTTGCAGAAGAAGGCCGAGAGCAATCAGCTGTGGCAGAACCTGCAAGTGACACTGAACTTTAATATTTTAAAGGCAGCAGTTATGTACATTGATCATACACCAGCTATCGTTCTAGAGACTCTCATATTTTAATTTTAATCCAATAATTATTTTAAAATTGCATTCATACAGAAAACTGGATAAGAATAAATTTGTAAATTTATCAGAATTTGCCTTGCAATTGATTTCGAATTTTGAAACTGGTCTATTTTTGGTCCCAAATATATGTTAAATCAGTGTTGATTTATAGATGTTGGACACTTTTTCATATTGGCAATGGATTAGTAGAGAAAATATCTCGAGCTATAAAAATACTGCGCATTGATTAATGGACACAGAAACATCATTCAGCCAAGACAAGAATGGAATGAAGAATTGGGCCATTGTTAGAACACTGTTGGCTAATGGTTATTATGCCATTGTTGGGTAGATGTTGGGCCAACATAAAACATAGATGGGCCATTAATGGGCCATCGTTGGGCCTTCATTGGTATAATCATTGTTGGGTGATGGATGTTGGGCCACTGTTGGCCCTACGTTGGTAAAAATCACCGTTGGTTTTTGAACGTTGGGCCATCGTTGGGCCAATGCTGACCTCGTGTAGTAATGAAAAGCATGTACGTTGCGCCAACGTTGGGCCAACATGTTGGGCCAACGTAGGGCCGATGAGCAAACTTGCATTGGGCCAACGTATGGTTGCCAACATTGGCCCAACGCAGTCAACAACTGTGCGCCAACGTTGGGCCAACGTAGTCATGCTATCTGGGGAGCTGTGTGTAAATGTTTTAAGAACGTTGTTCCTTGTGCAGGCTTCAGGATATCAGTTTCTAGTTCATCTAACAATTCCTTCTTCTTGCCAATTTTTGATACCAATACTGGTCTACCTTCAACTCGTTCCCATCGATTCCATGTCAGCTCTTTGTCCTCAGGTATTTCCTTGTAAATATTTTCTAATGTTTTTCTATAGTTACTGCATTTACTACATGTTCCTTCAATGCATTCTACAGCAAAAAAGTTGTGACTGGATGGCTTAGGGCATAAAAGCATTTCTAACAAGTTAGCTTCATTGACCTTTTTTTGACCAGATGACTTCTTGGCAAGTTCTAAACTCAACAATTTGTTTCTTTTATTTAAGCAATATCCGCACATACAATACTCTCTGTGTGTCTAGTAAGTAATCGTACATTTCTTGGTCTGAGTGCGGCAAATGTACTGAAAGCTACGGTTTCCTGATTGTTTTCGCTTTTGTATTTATTATATGCTTCTTTAACGGATATTAAGAGTAAATATCCTGGGCCATCTTTGGTGGCATAGCGCCGTTGTGGAACAACTCGAGAAATATCGGCTCGGGTGTAAAATACCTTTATCTTTTTGATATTAATCCGTGTTCTTTTCTCTAACTTTGATTTCAACGATAATGTTCGTCTGTTAATTTTGAGTCTTTCTGAAAGATACTTCTTACTATAACCCTTCCTCAACAAGTTTTTAGCAGCTCCAATTACCGCAGTCTTCCCTTGCGGGGTTTTTTTCAGTTCATCTACAAGTTTTGTTGGGCTTAAATTTGGAGACTGCACAGCTGTTTTTTTGTTATCTGTATTTCCCCTTTTATTTCTGTCCGACTGTCGCTTTGCACGCTTCCTTTCTCTGTCTTTTTTTTTTTACCCAATTCTTCTTCTGAGAGCTCATCTTTAATCGACAAAGTCTTTGCTTTTCTTTGTTGTATTCTCTTCTTGATTGTATTTTAGTTCTTGTGGAAACTGTGTTTGATTTCCAAGATCTTGAAATGACTGAAGAAGAAGCTGTGTGATTACCTTCAAAAGTCCTCTTGAATCTATTTTCCATGTATTTAGCTTGACGTTTTCTCTGCTGTGCGAGCTGATGTTCTTTTCTCTCTAGAGCTTCCTTAGGAGGTTTTTTCTTGGAAAGTTGTTTTTTCAAGTTTTCTCTTGACTTTTTGCATCTCTCTTCTTGTTTTCTAAGATACCCTTCATATTTTACTGGCTGTTCATATTTAAGCTTTCTTCTATACTCTGTAACACGGTGTACTTTTTTTGTTCTACCTTTAAAAACAAGCAAAGCAAGTGAAATCAACCTTTTAAACACTGATGGTAAATTGGGTGAAATAAAATATTATATAAAAATAAGATGTGTTTTTGCATGAATTATTTCATTAAAAAAATGTCCAAAAATTATATTTCATGATCAGGAATATTGTAAGCTGCAGAACTATAGCTCTCTGTTTGAAAAAAATCGGAAAGCTTGCAAATACAAATATTACAACAAGGAAAATTTGGAAATTCAAAGATGTGGGTTGTGTGTAAAACGTAACTAGAAACCGATTCGTTACTGGTAAAATAACTATCGTTTTCCTCAAAAAACATGACAAAGATCAGATAGTCTTAAGAGGAGTCAATGCTTTGCTTGTTTTACAAGTTCAGTTAAATTGTATAATAAAATTCTACATGTTCTGCCATGTCTTCCATAAAAATCAAAGGAAGAATTCAACATTTTATTTATTTTTTTTTTTTTTTGTAAATATAAAAATTAAATTCAGGTGAAGAAATTCTAAGATTTTTATCAATTTATAGTCCCACTTTCACTTTTGTTATTTTGGCATTGAAATACAACTGTTAAAATAATTTATTAATACAATTTGTTTCAAAACATTTGAGCTTTATTCCAACATTCTTTATATAGTAAATGAGTATGACAATAAACAACGAATTCTGTCAAATACAGATGATAGCAACGTAATTTCTGTCAATATATATAACGATCGCAACTATTTTTTCCGACAAAGAATGACACTCGCAAAACGCATGTTGGAAAATTCGTTGAACATCGATTTGGTCAGAAACGCGAACATTGGAAGTATGTTTTTATACATCTTTCATTCCGAAAGAATTAAAATCATTGTAATAACTGCATATTATTCATTTACACTATTATTACTATTTTAATGGAACTATTTCTTATTGTGTAATGTTAGACCTTATTACTTTCTAACTTCCCGCCGTTATTCCACATGCTTTGTGTATGCGTATGAATATCAACTTACAGAATAAAAAATGTCAGCATCCAGTATACACGTGTGTTCTTGAGTGTCTCATACGTATCTAGGGCCTACCCAAGTATTACATTTGGCGACGAGGTAAATTTCATGTATCATGGATCGGCTGCCAGAATTTGCAGCATTCGATTATGCCGATAAGGCCGACGCTGGACCGAAATGGGAAAAATGGATCCGACGTTTGGAGCTTTTGTTTACCGGCATGAACATCGACGACAACGGGCGTAAGCGCGCCCTCCTTCTTCACTACGCAGGAGAAAGCGTGTTTGATATCTACGAAGCAGAGAAGGGAGACACAGCGCCCAATTATGCGGCCACAAAGCAAGTATTATCTGATTACTTTTCTCCGAGAAAAAACCCTCAGATGGAAGTTTATAAATTTAGAAACTGTAAACAAAGCGTCAGCCAATCGTTAGATGAGTATACGTCACAGAACTGAGGAAATTGTCTAAAGATTGTTAATTTGCAGAGATAGATAAGGAAATTCTCTCACAGATAATTCAGAATTGTCGCTCTAACAGACTGAGGCGAAGAGCGCTGCGGGAGCCTGACATGAACTTAAAAACACTCCTAGATCTAAGTCGTGCCCTCGAGGTTGCTGAGACTCAAGCGCTAACAATGGAGGCCCAGAACGAACGTAACAGTGTAAACGCGATGCAGAAGTCATCTGGCAAACACCGAAGCCGCAACCCGAGAAGTAAAGAACAAGTGACAAAAAGTGAAAGCACTATTGACAAACCATGCGGAAATTGTGGACTTGCTCACGCACGCACGTCAGTTTGCCCAGCGAAGGGACAGCAGTGTAGATTCTGCAAGAAACTTAACCATTTCCAGAGAGTGTGCAGAGCCAAGAAACGCGCGTCAGGACAACACAGCAATTTCAAACATGTGCGCGAAGTTGATTTCCGGCATGAGGCTGAGTCAAGTGAAGAGGAATATATGTACTCGATTAATGGCAAAAAGGGACCTCAGAAAACTCTTAAAGTAAACGGTGTGTTGTGTGATTTTCTCTTGGACACTGGTGCATCTGTCAATGTGTTAGATCAGACTACACATGTGAAAATCGGTAGCCCGAAGCTTAAGAAAGAGAGCCATCCGGCACTTGTACCCTATGGCGGAGGAAAACAATTGACTGTGTTTGGAAGCTGCCAGCTAAAAATCGAGTGGAAAGGAGTCGTACAATTGCACAAATTCTATGTTGTGAAAGGCAATTATGGAGCCCTCCTAGGGTATCAAACATGTATGTCGTTTGGACTTGTTCAAGTTGTTCACCAACTGTCCCCTATTGCTGACAGATACCCTGACCTGTTCGTTGGTATAGGGAAACTCAAAGACAGAACTGTGCGAATTCATGTTGATGAGTCTGTGAAACCCGTAGCCCAACGTAGTCGTCGAACACCATTTCATCTCAGACCGAAAGTAGAAGCTGAACTTCAGAAACTTTTGGACGACGACATTATAGAGCGAGTGAAGGATGAGCCTACACCCTGGATTTCCCCTATAGTTTGTGTTCCTAAGAAGAATCCGGAAGAAATCCGTGTTTGCGTTGACATGCGAGAGGCCAATAAAGCCATTATCAGAGAGCGTCATCTCATGCCCACCATAGATGAGCTTATTCACGACTTAAATGGAGCAGCGGTGTTTTCCAAACTGGATCTTCGACAGGGCTATCACCAGTTGGAATTGGAACCTGCTAGTCGCTCGATCACAACATTCAACACACATGTTGGAATATTTAGATACAAGCGCCTCAACTTTGGAGTGTCCGCTGCCTCTGAAATTTTTCAAGAGACAATCCGTAGTGTTATCCAGGGAGTACGTGGAGCAAAGAACATATCAGATGACATTCTGGTGTTTGGCAAAACTCAAGAGGATCATGACGCCGCCTTGACGGAAACTTTCAAAGCGCTTCAGGACAGTGGACTAAAGTTGAATCGTCCCAAGTGCGAGTTCAATACAGATCGAATCACCTTCTTTGGACTAGTATTTAGTAAGGCTGGTATCTCACCTGATCCTGGGAAAGTCACAGCGATTCGAGAACGCAGCAACCGTCAAACGTTACTGAACTGAGGAGTTTCTTGGGAATGACTGCCTGTTGTTCGAGGTTCATTCCTGACTATTCCACTGTGAGTGAACCATTGCGCCGTCTTACTCGTTCCAATACTGACTGGCAATGGACGTCTGAACAGGAGAGTGCATTTGACAAGCTGAAAACTTTGTTGTCTAGTGACATTGTGATTGCTTACTATAACCCAAAGAAACCCATTGAAGTTGTGGTTGACGCCAGCCCTGTTGGCCTAGGGGCTATACTTACACAAGAGGACAACGTAGTTGCTTTCGCTAGCCGATCACTGAGTGGACCAGAGTCGCGCTACAGTCAGACAGAGAGAGAAGCGTTAGCAATCATATGGGCTTGTGAGCATTTTGATATGTACTTGAGAGGAGCACCACATTTTCGTGTCGTTACTGATCACAAACCTCTGTTAGCCATTTGGAAGCGCCCTAAGCCTCCGCTAAGGATCGAACGTTGGGGACTTAGACTTCAACCATACAAGCTAGAAATTACTTACCGACCAGGAAAGGACAACCCGGCAGACTACATGTCACGTCATCCTGTGGAGAGCCACACTACATCCAGAGAGGAGGATATGGCCGAGAAATACTTACATTTCATTGCGCAGGAAGCAACCCTTCGATCAATGAGTTTAGATGAAGTCAAGATAGCCACCATCGCAGACAAGACCATTTCTAAGGCCATAGAATTGGTCAGAACAGGGAGATGGAAGGAGATCAAATCTATAAACGACAGTGAGATCGACATTCTGGAACTCCAGTCTTTACGTAATGTCCGTGACGAACTGGTTGTACACTCAGATAATGTCCTTCTGCGAAATGGATGCATTGTTCTACCTAAGTCACTCAGAGCACGTGCGGTCAACATTGCGCACGAGGGACACCAGGGCGTAAGTCGTACAAAGGCATTCTTGCGTTCAAAGACGTGGTTTCCTGGCCTGGACGTTGCAGTAGAGAATGCTCTTCAACACTGTCTAGCGTGTCAAAGTATAACAGACAGGCAGATTCGTTTTGAACCTCTACAGATGTCAGACATGCCGTCTGGACCTTGGGAGAACCTCAGCGCCGACTTCTGTGGACAACTCCCCACAGGTGAATATTTGTTTGTAGTGATTGATGAATACTCGCGATTTCCTGTTGTTGAAATCATGAAATCAACTTCCGCTAACGCAACCATACCAGTGTTGGACAAATTGATCTCTACATTTGGCGTACCAAAAGTTATAAAAACTGATAATGGAAGCCCTTTTAACTCCCATGCATTTAAGGAGTTTGCCGAGAACATTGGTTTCCATCATCGACGTGTCACTCCAAGATGGCCGAAAGCTAATTCCCGGGCTGAATCGTTCAATAAGCCAATGATGAAAGCCGTTCGTGCCGCACACATAGAAAGAAAGAACTGGAAGCAAGAGCTATTCAAATTCCTTCGCCAGTACAGGGGAACGCCTCACCCATCGACTGGATTTGCGCCGTTCTCACTTCTGTTCAATCGCGAAACTAGGACCAAACTTCCTCAAGTTCCGACACGTAAATCAAATGCTGTCGACGAGTGCGCCAGACAGAATGATGAAGTTGCGAAAAGGAAGATGAAGATGAACGCAAAACTTAACAACCCACCTGATGAACTTCATTGCGGTGATGTCGTCCTCATGAGGAATGAACAAAGGAACAACAAGCTCGCCCCGAATTTTGACCCACAACCGTATACCGTTATGGCCAAGAAGGGAAGTATGGTGTCCGTCTCTCCTGAACCAGGAATGGAAAGACTTACCACTCGTAACTCATCATGTTTCAAACGAATCCCGAATACTCTCGCTCGTGGTACCGTGGAACCAGAACTAACAGAAGGAGAGGAACTGATACTCGAGCGCAAGTTGAAAAACACATCTGTACAAGATGTCACTCCAAATGTGACACCGGAAACGAAACCGAAAACAGTACCGTTATCAGACAAACCTGTAATTCCAGCCAGAAATGGAGCGGAACCGTACACTACGCGATCGGGTCGAATCGTGAGGAAACCTGCAGCTTTAAAGGACTTTGTGAAATAAACTTGCATATTGTTTTTGTGTTTGGTTTAAAGATTGATGTCAATTTTCTAGTCAAGTTTGCAAAGTCTCTCAATTTGTAATTCTAGTCAATTTCATTGCAAGTGTAATTTTCTAGTTATGTTAAATTGTATTTTTAGAAAAATCTGTTTGCTGTCAATTTCAATTTTTGATTTATTAGCAAATTTCATTTCTGTGAAAAGGAGGAATGTAATAACTGCATATTATTCATTTACACTATTATTACTATTTTAATGGAACTATTTCTTATTGTGTAATGTTAGACCTTATTACTTTCTAACTTCCCGCCGTTATTCCACATGCTTTGTGTATGCGTATGAATATCAACTTACAGAATAAAAAATGTCAGCATCCAGTATACACGTGTGTTCTTGAGTGTCTCATAGTATCTAGGGCCTACCCAAGTATTACAATCATCACTGAAAATATATTATAAAAAGGTTTTTCAGCATTCATTGTTTCTATCGTCATTTGCTGCTAACGTCAGATATTCTGACAGATAAAGTTACAATGTTTGTTTTTACCTCTCAGCGTCTCATCTCCAACCCTGTCCGATGCCATTTTGTTTGTTTAGGTTGCATATCGCCCCCTAGCGGCTGACAGCAGAGAATCGGAAGGTTATGAACAAGGAACGACAATCTTTGGAGTGCGATCGTTGCCAGATGTAATTGTGAGCTGCTGACAGAATTGACGATCGCACAATTTTTTTCGAAATGCTGGCGATTTTTAACAAATATTACAATGGAATTAATATTTTAATTCTGTTTAACCGCAGTTTTAATGCCCCTCTGATTCAGTTTTCTCTGAAATGTACCCAAATTAGCAATTTTTCCCATGTGATGCTATTGTCAGCCGATTTGACAGGCATACGACTCGCATTAGACAATTTTCTAATTTTCAAGTTTTTAAGATTAATTCTTTAAATTAATATGTTTATGTATATATTAAACAAAATCCGATTAAATAAAAACTATTTCATGCAAGAAAACAACAGGAATATACAGCACTGATTGAACAAATTAATGGTAAACTATGGCGCTCATTAAATGTATTTGGTTTTGAATCCGTCAATTTGACAATAGCACCCCTGTTTATTTTTCAAAAAAATGCTAAAAAAATTAATTAAATGATCTTAAATGCGTTTTTGTTGTTAGTTTAAACCTTTTTGCAAAAAAATAACACAACAAATAGATTTTTTCATTGTTTATTGTTCTACAAAAAAGAATGGAAAAATTGACGGACCTTTGTGCACTTTTCTCTGGAAGATGTCTTTTTCTAAAAAAAGAGAGGTCAAAGGAAAGGTTGGGGCCAAAATGTTGTTGCAGACTTGCAGTTCAAAAGCTTACATCAGTATGAATTTACTATTAGCATATGAAGTTTGATAAAACTATAATTAATGGTTTATTTAAAACTTAGATAAACACATATTTTAAAAAGTGAGGTGAAGGTCAAAGAAAAATTCAAGGTCAAAATAAGTTGATGTATTAATAGCTCTCAGCAGTATGTATCAGCATATGGAGTTTGATAAATATATCTTGAATTGTTTATTCAAAACTGATCTAGACATTAATTTTAGAAAAGTGAGGTCAAGGTCACAGGAAAGGTCAAGGTAAAAAAGAGTGAAGCATTGTAAAGCTTACATCAGTATATATGTATCATCATGTGAAGTTTCATTACACAACTTGAAGGGTTTCTTTAAAATAAAGCTAAACACTAATTTAAAGAAAAGTTAAGTGAAGGTCAAAGGAAAGGTCAAAGTCAAAAAATATTGCTGCAGTTGGATATTTACATCAGTATGCATCAACATATGAACTTTGATAAAAATATCTGGAAAGTTTCTTTGAGCCCAATGGAAAGACAGATGGAAGGGTGGGGGACGGACATGACAAAACTATACATGCATTCCTAATCATGGTGTGGCATAAAAAACTTGAATCTACATTATATGAGGATGTTTCCATCTATCAAGATTATACAAGCAAATTCAAAGAATTGTGGTCCTCTGCTTTCTGTGTTTTAGTGAATGGGATGCTATGATTTATGGCAGATTGTGTGTCAAATATGCACCCCTATCATATATCAATTTTTGAAAATTGGGTCAAAGGGGAAAAATCATAGCATGCTCTGAAACATTTTGTTGTACATGTCAAATATGCAGTGTTCGAAATTAGCGTCGGTCCGTCGGTCCTGCGCCGACGTTCAAACGGAAGGACTCGTGTATAGTATGACTAAATGGGTCCTTGAAATGATTTTGGGCCGATGATGATTTGCGAAGAAAGAAGGCCTAAAAATTATGTTTCTTTCCTATAACCCGACCGACACATTCAAATTGCTACCATAACTGTGAAGGTTTCAATCAGCTGATGCAATTTTTATAAAGAATGTTAATTGTAGCTTTAGTTGAAATATAGATATGTTGTCCTAGTCAACCTTCACTTAAATATGAAGGGGAATGATCATTTTTATATCATCTAGCATTTCCTCCCCCAATATTTGTTAGCTTCGTTTTCTATCACAAGACAGCCATGTTGGGTGTCTACTGTAAATATCCAACCTGGTTACTTCAGTCCTGGGATGTTTGGCCCTCTTTATTGAGGTATTTAGGTAAAGTGAAAATGAATGTTTTAAATGAAAACTTTATTATACTTCAATATGTGAGATTGTACATAATAGGCAAAAACAAGATGTGTTTGTGAAACACTATGCGCCCGGCGGCAACAAAGTTCAAAATATCTATTTTTAGCATATTGATCACAGTCAAGGTCACAAGGTCATTGACCATGGTGTCATTCGAAAGAACTTAATCAGTGGAGTATGCGTACTAAATATGAAGTCCCTATCTCCTATGGTTCAAAAGTTATGGCAAAAAGTGTAAAGAGCTATTTTTAGCATATAGGTCACAGTCAAGGTCACAAGATCATTGACCTT